TGTTGAGGAAGAGTAGGGTGGGCATATTCATAGTTTCACAAAAATTATAAGAGCAGTGAATGTGGCTATGGTATCAATATATGTTTCTGATATACATAGTGTGTAAAATTCTGTTTTACCTCAAACCAGGACAGGTTGAAAACCTATTACTTCAGAACATTATGTATATCATTCTTTAAAATCTTCTTCTTGTCATACTCCCTACTCCAGCACTGCTGTGTATCTCAAGTTCCTGCAAGAATGATTTGTTTGGCTGATTTGATCACTGAATCCATCTTCAAACCTTTTTATATTTTGTCCATCCCCAATTCACACATGAAGTTGTGTACTCTCCTCTGGCAGTGTCTGCAGTTTTTAGCTCCTAGATGCTCTTGACTTCTGTCTTTTATTCCAAGTCTTCAGCTGAAGCTGACACCTTTTTCAGTGTCCTTTTCCTGTGCCCTCTCTTATGTGGATCTTGACTGTAAAATTAACCCAGTTCTTCTTCAGACACTTGTCTAGTGCCTATGACTGTATCTGTGTGAAAACACTCACCTGAACTGGTCAAAACTTTTAACTAGAGTTTGGGTGTCCATCTATCTGGTGAGGTGTACCAGTGCCTCAGAGGGGACTCCTGACTGGTCACAGGAGTGCCTTTTGGTGCATGCTCTTTTGGAGGTACAGATTTCCCTGAAGCTACATGTGAGCTTGCACAGATGCTCATGTAGCAGGCTCACACAACACTGGAGTGACTGTGCCCTTCTTCTGAGCACTGAGTGCTTTCCCAACTCCCATCTGTATCTCCTCCCACTCCCACTATCCTTAAACTGGTTTCTTCAAGTAAAGAAGTCAGTTTCATATGTGTAAGCAATCATAAATGTAGGAAAATAATGCAACGCCTCCCAAAATTGCATTAGCCCACCCCATGATAAAATAATCAGATTGCTTCTCTCTCTCTCTGAGACTTCTCTGCCCTCCCTCCTTTTTTTCATTCTTATCCTTGTTTTGAGGATGAAGAATTCATCTTTCTTAGGACCATGAGAGCAACATGGATTTTCATAATCTAAGTAGTAGTCTTTTGTCATTTTTATTTTTTTTTAGCTAGAGGCAAACATTACACTAGTTTAAAAATCTCCCAGTGTTATTTTTCAAAGACAATTTTGTAGTTCTCTTTAAAGCAAAAGCAATATTCTATGTTTGTACAGGGTTCAGCACAGACCTTAATCTTTTCTGGACTCAAATTATACCACAGTATAAAGGATAGCATCTACTCTTTGCAGCTAAAAAAGAAAATAGCATCAACTAATGTCACCCATAGCCTTTTGTCTTACCAAGAACTTTGTTCTATGTAAGTTGGCTGCCCACCTCTGACCCTTTAGAGGTTAGACATCCCAGATTGCTCTCTGTTATACCTAGGGTATGTGCTTCACAGATCTGGAACTGATGGAGTGCAACAGACACATCAGGATCTGTGTTTTTCACAGTCTCTCCCACTGCCTGCCCTTGGGACTGGTGACTGTCTCTGGACTGAGATGCGCAACATTGGATTCTCCCATGGATGTGCCAGAGCCAGCTGCTCATCCTCATATCTCAGCCAGCCTCTGCAGAGCCGAGTGCTAGTTCCATTCTTTCAACCATTTTTGAGCTGGAGAGCATTCATGCAATGCGAACACATGGTGGAATCACTTAAGTGCCTATACAAGGAACTTAGCTAGGGAAGAAAATGCAGCATTGTGATCAGTAATGAACAGCCTGGTTGGGTATACTGTACTGATTAGATGGAGAGGGCCACTTGATTTTCTGAATCTGTTTTTCCTACCACACCTTTGAATCAAGATGTGTCCTACCGTACATTTCCTGACACTTGACGTACTTAAATTTATAAAATGGTTAGAGATCCTAGTATGAAATTTGCAGACCTATAAAATTATTGGAAAAGAATTGTTTGCTGGTAATAAAACCTGTGTACCTACTGGCATCTGCTGTGTAGCAGAATTTTTTACAGCATCTTCAAGCAACTGAAACAATATCTGCAACATTTTTGATCTACAAGTACTCCAAAGACAAATACTATGCTGACTGAAAGTCTCACTATACTGCCTGACGCAGTCCAGCTTGGAATAAATAAATATCTTCATTGAACTGCAGCCAAAATAGCATACTGCCAGTGCTGGCACACTAAAAGAAGATTATTTAAGAAGTTAGTGTTAGGATCCGGATTTAAGATTTTTGCTTGAGATAATTAAGCAACGGAGCTGGGTTCGTTTTTGGGGTGTCTTGACACAACCTTTCATCAAGCTCATTTGAGATTTAGGTAGGATAGTGAGGGAGACAGACTGAGTCTGTGGGAAGCTATCAGCCTAAGTAATTAAATTTATTGTTCACCAAAATTCCTGACTACTTAATGATGTGCTGATCTTCCACTATACAGCGACCTGTTTGAAGACAAATGTTCCTTATTCTGTTCTGTTTATCAGATCATGCCATTCCTTTGCTATCATGTGGAAGAGCTGGTTTTGTGTGCGTATTCTTGAAACCACTCACTGGTACAATGCAGTATTTTCATCAGGGGTGGCTTGATGTGTTAAGGCATCAGGCAGTTTAAAAACTCATAAACATTATCCAGTGAAAAATGCAGATAAATGCATATAGATACCTTTCATAGTTATTTTAGCCAGAAGTCCATACTGTCTGTCTCAGTAAAATGAAGTACAGTTTGTTGGGGGTGGTGGTGGATATTTTGAGAGAGAACATAGAAGAATTAAAATTTGTTATCTATGGAGGATAAAAGATGTAACAAGAGCCTGTGAACCTCTAAAGAACCCTGGAAAATAGATTCTGGAAAGCATAGGGTGCCTAAGGATTACTAGCAGGAAGCTAGGGGCACTGTTTTGAAGCTCAGCAGCTCCATTTGTCATTCCTTTCAAATGCAAATCTTCCATAAAGGTGTTTTATTTGTTAATTCACACACACAAAAAAAGAGAAATTTCTGGGTAACTTATGCTTGGCAAAATATACCATCTGAAAGTCAGCTTTACATCCCTATTTATTGCAAGATGCTGTTGTCTGCAACAATTTAGAGATCACTCTGGCTTGAGAGAGTTCTGCATATAGTAAGATCCTCTAGCATCAGGCTGCCATTTGTTTACTTCCCTAGATTATAGAATTTTCCTTTTCCATGGAGATGACAGCCCCTTGACAAAAATAAAATGGTAAAGGTAAAGGAATCTAGGTCGTTCATGTGCTTGAAACTACAGAGACTAGGCTATACAGGTAGTCATGATTAGCATGCCGAAGGAAAGAAATCATTAATTTTTTAAATATTCTGCTATCTGAGAGCTTAAAAGTGATGTATCATTTAAGCTTATAATGCAAAGCCAGGGTATAACCAGTGGATGCAAATGAATATAAATAACTTGATTTGGTGGCAGGTGCACATCTACAGCTGAGACCAAACATTCAATTAAAAAAAAAAAGCTGGTAATTCTTCACACTTCAGAAGGGCTATCCCAAAAGACTATGAAGGCATCTGAGAATTTTCACAGAGAAAAAAAATGTACTACTGTGCAAACATTACAAAGCAGTGTTTTATGAGGGTGAATACAGGAAGAACACCAAATTTTATTACAAGAAATCAGATAATATTGTGGACATCTCCAGAAAGACTAGAAGAAGCTATGTGAATGACCATCACCGGGGTGCATGGAATTCCAAGTCGACATGCGGAGAAGGAACAGGGAAACGGCTCATTCACTTTTTCAAATCCAAGGTTAGCTAGAACAGCTCAGCAGAAATACCTGGCTGTGGCTTATTGGATAGAGTGGACAGTTTAATAAACACTTCCACTGTTAATAAAACTGAACAGAAAGTTTGCACATGCAGAAATGGACAGTTGTGCTGGAAGGATCATAATGCCCCTCTATGCATTCTCACCCTGAATATTGTGTTTGTTTCTCATCCCCTTGTCCAAAAATAAATAAATAAAAAGAAGCAAAAATAATTTGAGAGGCAGAGAGAAAAAAGTCATGAAAGAGGCTTCCTTTGGATTTGAAAAATATTGGAACAGCTAGTATTGTATTGAGAAAGTGAAATGGGTGGGCTTGTAGTGTCACCACTTGGCACACGCTGGTTTTCCACAAACCCCAGAAGAGACGGGCATGCTCAGGGAAAGAATAGCTTGCCATTTTAAGGCTTTTTATCTCCTTCCCAGTCTTACTAACATACTTATTCATTACATTAGTTTTGCATATAATAGAATGGCTCCTTTGTAATATTAATAATTTTTTAAAAGTCCTTGCTGCGCAGCCTGATTAGCATGCTAATTGAGTTTCTCCTGTCAAGCACTTCTAGAGTGGTACCCAGACTTGGATATTCTTTTTATTCTTTTGAGAAATAAATGTAACATGTGCTTCTGCTTCCATTTGTTTATGATCCCACCCCATAACCATACAGGAAAGCTGTGCTTGTTGAGGAAAACTTTGATTTGAGTAACATTGTGTATATGTTATGTATGAATTCACAGTTTTACTGGATTATGCACACGCAATATACACACCCAATCTAGGAGAGCTTTTTGTGACATCCCCTTCTACCTGTCAATCTGTATGCCAGTAAATCACTGTGGTATTTTTCTTTGAGAGGAAAATTATGGCACTGAGTTTGTAATTTCTTGGACATCATTTATGAATTATTATTTTTTTGCCATAAGTCAAATATATTCCAAAATGTTTCACAGCAGGTGTTGCTATTTGGAAATAACAGGCTCTTCTTTGATCCTTTCTAAGGGGAGAATACGCTGGAGTGAACAGTGCACATTCAGCTAATCCAGTGCGAACAAAAAAAATATATAGAAAATAATTCTTGGCAAATAACACGGGGAATTGTGTTTGTGATATAAATGAGGATTTTGAAAATGGGTAACATATTGAACTTCTGTGAATAATCTGTGCACGTAACAGTTGGAATTATAAAAGCCTTATAATATTTCCATAATCCTAATGCGTTTCTTTGCTGTTTTGCAGGCAGACCAGTAATGATTGTAGTTGAATACATGGAGAATGGATCCCTTGACTCCTTTCTGCGGGTGAGGTGCCATTTTCTGATGACATTTGAATAAGACACCATTCTAGGTTAAGATTTTAAATCATTTATAATAAACTAATTTCTACATAATGTTATTCATAGAGTTTTAGGGAAGAACATAAGCATTTTTCTCAGAGTACATTTCTAAGGTATAGTGAAACATTAGTGCCTGAAAGAAAAGGTGATTTAAACTTAAGAATATAATTGATTTCTTCTGCAAAAGTAGTTCCCATATTTAGCAAAATGTATTTCAAATAGTGTTTTTGTGAAGGAAAAGATAAATTGAAGCACAAATGCCTAGCCTTACAGAAGTGGTTCATTTTTCTCAATCACCTTCAAAAATACTTTGTTATGATTTTTTTGGTTGGTGAAATAGACTCAGTAATTGATTTATAATTATTTATGGTTACTTACATTTAACAAATTGAACTGGAAAACAGTTCATGGGTGAAATGTCCTGCCGTTAATTAACCCCTAAAGGTCACAAATAACCATTAAAGAAGGGCTACCGAAAACACTAATAATATTTGGTACAATTTTATTTATTATTTCTTAGAAAAGTATAAGGAAAGGATGACCCCCTAAGCTGAACTGATCTTAAAATGGTCTCTTTGTTAACAGAACCCTTGGAGATGCTCCAGAGGTTCACTGGCATAAGACCCTGTGTGAATAATTTTATTGCCAAGTATTTAAAATTTGTCTTAAACAGTAAATTTCAATCCTTACTAGCCCACTGCCTCGCCATAGCTGACTTGCAGAATGGTAAAGCTGGTGTTGTAGGCAAGTTGGGGCACGGTATCAGGGGATTGTGGTTTTGTGGACTGTTTGAAAGGGTATCCCAAGTGCAAAGGAGTGATGTTCAACAAATGGCTGTGAATATATTTGCAGGAAAATCTAGATGATGATGATCAAGGATGCTATGGTGGCAGGAAGGAGAAACTGCGAAGAGGAAAGGCTGAATAAGTGGGAGGGAAAGAACAGCCAACACTTTAGAAAGAAGACTAAATCAGTGAGCGGGAGAGAAAGTCATACAAAGAGTACTTGTTTGACAGCAGGTTGAGAAAAGAGGTAGCCACAAGCGGAGAAGAGCACTGGGAACAAAGCATACTACCCTAAGAACATCAGAGCCATTATCTTAGATCTTTCTAGACATTGTTTCTCCCGTCTTTCTGCTTTTGATTATTCTATTGTATTTTTTCTTTACTATTTCCTGCCGTACTCTTCCTCAACTCTCCCAAATATTTTTTTTTCTTTCCTTTGTCAAGACACATGACAGACATCTGCTATGTTGTCAGAAACACACTAGCACCACAGGTTCTGGTGAGAATTTGCTGATCTCTCAAAATCAAGTTATTTTTCTGGACACAGTTTGATATCATCAAGTTCTTCTTAGAAACTGGGTAGGTTTTAAAAATCGCCCTCCTTGCCTTTCTGGATCATCTCGATATCCATCTGCAGCAGACAGATTGCTGCTGATTTGAATACCTGGGGTTTCCCTGATCTGTAATTTTGCATCAGTGCTCCAGGAAGACTTGCCTGGGCCTGAAACCCTGCTCTGCGTGTGTGCACACAGAATTTCATAGAAAAGAATAAAACTAAATACTGAAATAATTCATGAGAGAGAATTGCCTTTCTCTGAATTGCTTTACTATGATATCTATATTTCCATTATTCTTCACATGCATTTATTTATCAGAATAGTTACTACTTATTAGGATACTGTAATGGAAACTGACATCAGCAAAATTATGATGTTATTGTGAAGCAATACTTCTCACATTGCATCAGATATATTTGTAGGCAAATCTGCTGGGAGAAAATGTGAGCTAATCATTTCTGCAGCTGGTTTCCATGTATATTATTTTAGTTTCAATTCGCACTTCAGATATGGTTTATTCTTCTAAAATGCTTTTTAAAAGGACTTTAGATAGTATTCAGCATCCCAAAGCACTGTAGATATATCATCAGCACTTCTGTTAATAATTAGCAGAGCAAATAGCTGCAAAGTAACCTATTTAAAAAGAAACCCAGCTGCTTCATTAATAATAGTTGTTTCCTGCAGATATAAGTCTCCACTTTTAAAAGCTTTTGTGAAGATACAAAGAAGCAGAGAGGGTTTATCTTTAGCAATCCTAATGAAAGGTGTTCAGTGAATATAACAATTCTTATGTGGTGAGATTTGGAAGGGTTTATAAGATAGTCTATCTTTCTTACTATTTAAAAGAATCATTTGTTACAGTGCAAAGGTTTTATAGAGATGAGAAAAAAAGCCATTTCTCACCATAAAAAAAATTTCCACCTACACCTCAACCTGCAAAAATTAACCAACACATCCGTCCAACCTGTCCTTCTCCAAAAGCCTGCAAAAACAGGTCAATTTTACAATTTCCAAGTGAAACTCTGTGATAAACCGTGTGAGGATATTCCATAAGACTCCTCAAGGAAGACATCATATTGCCATCAGCCTCCTCACTGCCTTGGTGGGGTGTTAGCTCTCATGCCGGTGCGAGTTGTGTGAGGAATCATAAACTCCAAGTGAAATTCCCCTTGACCCTTGAGCTAAAGTCTTAATAGCCTTTACTTCCATGCTTTACATATAAGGAAATGAAGCACTGTGATGTTAAGTCATCTGCACAAGATTGTGCACAAAGTGAATAACAGAAAGTAGAAATTAAATTAGTTCCCCTGAATTCCAGGCCAACAGCTTACACTCATCCTTCATATTATTTAGTGCTGTATTTTGTTTGTAGTTATGTGGCCAAATACCCAAACCAGTGCCTTACTTTCTGCTATTTGTATGAATTAAACAGCAAGCTTAGCTAGATTGTCTTCCCCACCCTAGAAAATATCCTGTATGCTGGCTGCTAACTTTGAGCTTTTGGGGAAAAATTTTAGCATGCACTTGCAATATGAAGATGCTTCAGTTATATTCTTAGTGGAAAAGCATAAGCTAATTAGAACCAATTCTGTAAGACGATGGTAATTAATTACAGCAATTGTGCACCACCAGACATCCTAAATTGCTGGAAATACTTGACACTAAATTTTCCTCAGAAAATTCCTGCATTATTTTTGCAATTATATAAAATTCATTTCCATAAAATGAAGCTCCATTATTTTTTCTTCTCATAAAAGATTGATATATGTAAATTAATCATCTCTCAAAAGTATACCTGAATTTTGCTGTCAAGGAAATACTCATTTGACTAGAAATAAGATACATGTGACTTTACTTCCAGTAACACTTGGAGAGATTTCTCTGAAAAAGGATATGAGCTTCCAGCTTAGTATTTCCTCAGGGACCAGAGTCTCTTCTTTCAGTATTACTCCAGCAGCTGTCAAACAGGACTAACCTGTGCTTGGAAAGAAAGTGGCTAATACTTTAGCTTGTGAATTGAGGAGATTCAGGTACAAGTTCCTATTACCAACTTCACACACAGACTTTGGATGGGACATTGTCTTTACGTTCCAGTCACCTGCCTGTGTAATGGAGATCTTAGCAATCGCTTATTCTGCAAACGTGTGAGGAAAATAATAAACACACAAAGAGTTGAAAGGGCAGCTATCTGTATTGATAGAAAGATGTGCTCAGTAATTAAATAGGATAAATGCAGTCAGATGTGTTTTCTCAGGCTTGTTGATACAGACTATAGAAGATACAACAAGAAAGACAGCCAAGAGAGATGCATAATAGAAAAAAGAAAAAAAGCCTAAAAAACACAAAAGCTTTTTAACAAGCAGTTTGCCACAACCGTGGGTTTGAGATGTCAATTCTTTAAACATGGCCATGACTAAGTCAACTACGTGGGTATTGAATCACTGTTTGGTGACCTTGCAATCTTCATACATGACATAAATGTAACCCCACCTTTGCTGAAGGAAAACAGAGATGAGTGCCACATTGCACCCTATTTACATACATACAGTAATATAACCCAGGTCTGAATCCCATTTCACTCCTTAGCTGTTTGTGCTGGACACCACAACATTTCCCTCAGTCTTGCCTGTCAGATGATTGCAATGATTCCTATAAAGGTCCTTTGTCTCCAAGTTGGTCCTTTCACCCTGATATCCCCTTCCTGGCTCAGCCCACTGTCTAAGTAGATGCCTCACACACTTATGGAGCAATTTAGTGTTTTCACAGTTCCATAAGTGGGGTCATTCTTGGCTAAAGTAATTGGATTTAACATCGCATAGACAGGAACAGGGTGATTAGAAAGCTAGGTGGCTTGTGTGTCTGGGGGGGCTACTGCTTCTTGGGTTCAGTTGTACAGAAGGCTACTTGGAGAGCATCTGCGGGCTGTCGTCTGCACCCATCCTCCTTGTACGCTGTTCTGTATGGTCATGGATTTAAGGCATGGAAAAGGAACATAGAAGTTGACTTTTGGGAATGTTTGTTTGTGGTTGGCTACTAGAATCACGTAAAATGAACCCCAAAACTTTCACCAGTGTACTTTAACTTCTTTCAGTATTTTTCTGCACTGCAGGGTCAGTGTTTTATTCTGGCTTGGGGTCCAAGGTGTGCTAACCAACAGTCAGCACAGTGAGGCAAGAACCAGGGACACAGCAATATTAATCAGATGAGAAAACATGGTATTGGAGCTTGTTCTGTAGCAGGCCTGATAGCAAAATAATCTATCAGCTGTATCCACTACACTGTATTTTCTCACCCTTCTTTATTAGGAAGGGAATGTGCACTCTCCAGGGATCAACGTGGGAAAGAAAGCTCCTCAGGGTTTGCAGCATTTTCTCTTAACTGTACCCTGAAGAGACAGATGTTTAGGTTTGAAAGATGCTCCAGTCTTGCCCAGTTTTGTGAATTTCTGAACTGTAGGAAGAAAGGATTAATGTACCTAGAGTAATCACAGGGTTGTCTTGCCTCCTTCATTATTACTATTTGTAATAGTAGTGCTCCTCTTCCTACCTAAAAACTAGTGAGTGATATATTTTCTTTCACTTTGGAAAATTAAAATATTTGTAAAAAAAAGTTAGATTTATCTA